GCTATTGATAAGGAGTTAAGTCTTAACCTTGAATTGCCTAGCTCCTGTCAGTTAAAAACCAGCCCCGTGTCATGGTTTTAACACAGTCCTGTGACATTAGCATCTTTTTAGTGTCAAGATGAAGAAGCGGGCTCATTTAGCCCCAGTGAATTTCTCCCTGTCATGAGCTGTTTCCATCCCCAGCTTACCCCCACCTCCCCACGCCCGCTGGAGCTGAATGAAGCCTGTATCCCCTGTTGTATTTAAGCAAGTTTGCTACCCTAACCACAGCCTGGGGATTTCAAAAGAAAACATCCATTGTAAATTAAAAAAAAAAAAAAAAAGATTGTACCAGATTTTCTACAAGGTTTATTCCATGCTGCCTTAAAGTATGAACATAGTCGAGCTCTGCGGAAAGTGATTAATTTCTCGAAAACGCTAAGGTCGCCCTAATTGACATGACCTGTGTAATTAAGCAGTCTCTGTTTACACACCAGAAGCTCGGCCGCTGTGAGGCTGAGTTTGCTTGACAGAATGTCTTTACGTGTCAAGAGATCAACAACCTTTCTTCTGTCCTTCTCAGTCACCTACACGGGCCCCTGATTGCTGCTCAGAGGAGACACGCTCAGCAGGCGGCCCGCGAGCATCCCAAGTGGGGCAAGAGGGAAGGAGCCCCCGTGACGGCTGCGAGGAGCCGCTTAACGGGCGGGAGAGCGCATTTTCAACCAGCCGTCTCCAGGGTTGATTTTCAACAGCACTGGGAAAAGCCACGGGAGATGCAAAGAGGAAGCCGGTTCTCTCGTGCAAAGAAGACACTCTCTCACTCCCCCTCACAGGCAGCAGCAACAGAGAAATATTTGAAACCAGCTTCCCAATTAGTGTACCACGAGAAAAATAGTGGAAATTACGTCCTGTTCAAAGGAAGCCTTCGACCACTGTCTGCATGAGGCATCGCTAGCAGTCAGGATGGCTGCAGGGAAGACTAATCTTCCCCCTCTTGGTTAACTCCTACGATCTGGGAACTACGGCAGGATTTCTTAACAGAGTACTCGGAGATGTCCCTTTACTCTGAGGGACCGCTTACTCAGGCTCCATCTAGGCAAGGGTAAGGGCCCTTTCTCACCCTAGAGAACTGGCCTAAACCTTCGTAGCTTAAGTGAAGCTCAGGCAGTCTTCTAAGTAGTTGCTTCTTTCCCAAAGTTCACACAGTTACAAGTTGACCAACACCATAGCTCTGTTCAGAAATAAGGCTCAAGTTCCTCCCCTTGCACACGACTCTCTACCCTCTGCTTGGTGAACTTTGGTGGTGTTCCAATGTTCTTCATCCACATGGTAGCTTCAGGTTCTATTAGGGCAAACACCTCTTTTGAAAACCCATCTTAGCTTTCCCAAGACTTCAGCACACATCTGTGGGTAGCCGCTGTGGCTCTCAGATGCTGAGAGGTCTCTTTACTAGGTGCCTGCTGGCAGGCTCTGAACACGTCCCTTACAGTTCCCCAACGTTAGACAACATCTGAGTCAGACTGGCTGGGTTCAACCACTGCCTCAATACTTAGTAGATGTGTGACTTTGGGCAACTTGCTTAATTTCTCTAAGCCTCAGTTTCCTCCTCTGTAAAATGGGAATAATCTATACTTACTCATTCCCAACAGGGATATCGTGAAGATAATATGGACACAAACATAAACAGTCATCTCCCCAGCACTTAATGCAGTTAGGAGTGAACCAGGATAGGGAACACAGGAAGGGAAGCCAGCCTGGGATAGAGGCACAAAGAAAAAGAAATAAGGAGGGTGACAACTGAGTTTGGAAATATCCAGCAGGTAGCTGATGGCTAGGTCTGAATTGGGGTGTCAGGTGTCAGGGAACCTGACTCAAGAGTTCTCAGTGCCCAAAATATGGTTAAGATGCTAGAGGTAGAGAAGATCCTCAGAGACCTTACACAGTAAAAAAAAAGTTCTGAATCTCAAAAGGAAATTTAGGGAACATGACATTTATAGGAGAGCAGACAAACAGCGTCTATTGGAAGGGGCTGAGAATGAATGAATGTTGTTATGAAATCTAAGGAAAAAGATGGATTCAGGAAGGATGGAGTGGCTACCAGCATGCAGTGATACAGATAAACACAGGAGGAAAAGTCATGAAAGAAACAAGGCTGGAGACAAACTGAAAAGGTTGACTAAGGGATACTTGAAGTTTTACTTGAACTCTACTGAGACAATTCGTCCATTCTCTGACTGCATAAATATCCATGTGCCTACATGCATAAGACCATGTGCTAATTGCATAAAATGATAATGAAATGTGTAAGCATACACAGATACAAAACAAAATAAGTCAGTATTCATTCTGCCATAGGCTCCTTCAATCCTCTGCCAGGAAGAAACGAGTGGGTGATGGGTACAGAGCAGGTTAAACCTGGGATGCAACAAGAAAGTTGTCACTGCTGACAGAGAGAGATACAGCTCTTCTTCAACTAAAACACTGACTGTATGGTGGCGCTAATGTACCTGCCCCTACTGAGACACATCCACCTACTTTAGGACCAGTTGAAGAATCATAGGAAAGAGCATTGTCAGGGTTCAGATAAATCATGTATTTGAAGGGCAGTATGGACCTGTGTTGGGCAGCTCTCATGCCTAGTCAAAGAGTGCACCCATTGAGATAGAAGCAATGTCACCATGAAGAGTCTGCCAGAGGTCATCATGAATAGGACAGAACCAGTGATTCTCAACCAGGAGCAATTTTGCACCCCTACCCCAACCAGGGACATTTGGCAAGGTCTGGGGACATCTTGGTTTCTTGCTTTGTTGTGACTGGGGGAGGGGAGTATCTCTACTGGCATCTAGTGGTAGAGGCTAGTGACAACTGCTAAACATACTCCACAAGGACAAATCATTCCTTCCCTCCCTGCCTACCATCCCCAAAGAATTATCCAGTCTAAAATGTGAATTGTGCCCAGGGTGGAGAAACCCTGTACTGATATAATGACCCAGCTTAGTTTATCACAAGTATTCTCTCCAAAGGCTTACATTTTTACTTTATCATTTACAAATTACTTATGCATGCAAAATGTCTTTCTTTCATATATTGTAAAATAAGCAGAATCATCATTTTTACTCCATTTTACAGTTGAGGAAACTGAGGCTTTCCAGAAATCTAACTCATGCCTCCTCATCTCAATAGCCCTTCTACTAAACAAAGAATAGCTCTTTTGTCTGTAAAAGTAACATTTTCTAGACTCAAAAATAACAGACTGAGTTGGCTTCTCATCTCACATAAAAGCTACATTCCTATAATTCAAGGCTTTCAGACATTTTACTAGCAGGTCCTGTGAGGGCAAACAAGTCCCCAGAAGTCTTACACAAATGCTCCTTCTTTAGGTTCCCAATGTCACCAAAGTCCAGCTCTAGCTCTGCTTCCCTGAGAAGCACAGCAAAGTCGATCCTGGTATTAATATGCCCTTAGACATGTCTCTTAGACATGAATTTGTTCATGCCTAGATATGCCTCATTTCTAACCCAAGCTTGCTCAAATGAGATACATGGCTCATCTTAAGGCCCAAGCAAGCTACAAAACAGTTTGTACTAAAACTCAACCTCTTCTTTCAAGACTCTTAGCAACATACACTTAGTGGCATCATGTGTGTTGTTTTGCCCCCAAAGCTGACTCCAACTCAACACAAAAAGTCCTGTGTGAGAATGACAGTGCCCAAGGCTACCAACCTGGGGTCAGAATCTAGCCAGGAGAGACATTTTCTGGGAAACTAGGAATCTGAGGATTCTCCTCCATTCATCTCTGTCAGGACAAAAGTTGGCAAGGCCAAAATGATTTTAGAGAAACGCTTCAGAATCTCAGGAGAGAATGTCTTCTTTCCACTGAATTTGTTCTTTCATGAGACCAGTAAGTCTCATCCCTTTAAAAAATAATCACCTTGGAGACTGAGAGATCTTGACATTCAAAAGTCAACGCTCAGCATCATACCTTCCCTTTCTCCATCAGAGACCGCGCAGCTAAAAATTCTCAAAGCCTCTCAGAAACCATATATTTCAATCTATACTTAAAGCTGACTCTACCTAAGAGCATACTGTAAGCACCATACAGACTATATGGCATTCATATATGGGTCCTGACACACTTGGATGGGGAAATTAACATCGGCCATGCAAATGAGTCATAAAATTACACAGCAAGCAACACGGGGGTCTGGCACGTTGCTACTCAAGTGTGGCCATGGCGCTGGCATCACTGGGGAGCTTGTTAGAAATGTAGAATTTCCATGCCTCCCTTCCACCTGCCGCAGACCTCCATTAGCGTCTTAACAAGGTCCCCAAGGGATTCTTGACACTTTGCCATCTGAGAAGTACCCATCTAGAACTTAACCACCTTTACTAAAACCCAACTACCATTCTGTGTCTTGGAAGTGAACACATTTGTTTTCACATCATTTCTCTTTCGAAAATGTATAATTATAGGAGGTTCGCAGACCACTCATACTGAAATGGTGGCAGATCTGATGGATGCTTGAGGACATCTACGTGTGTCATACAAGGACATTTCTGAAACAGAACTGTCACCCATGTCAGTCTAGAAGCACCCTGCTTCTTAAGAGGTCCATTTTTAATGATAATGACTACTAATGATTTCCAAGAATGAAGGAGGTAGTAAATTCTAAACACAGAACAAAGCTCTTATGTTACGGTTTTTCTAGTTGTAAATCTTTAGGGGGAAATTCATTGTTTCTGTGTACTTCACTGAACCTGCACTGGGCTAAGCCCGTGAGTCCACTCTGGAAGCCAAACTAGGCTCAACCAGCGCACGCAGGTCGTGTGGTCCCAATTCCTCTCTAATAAAAACAACAACTGCTGGGGAACAGAGACCTGGGGGACAGGGCGCCTCACCTGCTCTCCACTCTGGGGAAACAACTATACTCTATGTCTTCTTCTGCCTAAGACTTTTTTTTAACTCTCTCCTGATATTCATGTCATTACTGCGATTTAAGAGAGACAAGACAGGCCCACCTGGAATCTCCGCATGTCACGTGGGTTGCCGGCATTCTTTAGGCAATTTTGGTTACATTTGAGGAAAAATTTCAAGAAGAACCTGTAAAGAAACAAATGATCATGGTTAGCATTTCAGTCCTGACACAGAAAGAAAAAAAGTAGTAAGTTGCTTCTGGGCGGTGCGTTCTAGGCACACTTTCTGAAACACTCAGAATGGTGTTAGAACCAGTATTTTGTTGAAAGCTTTAGCCTTTGCTTTGCATCAGAGCTGGAGTGGCCTGCTCTGGGTACTGCCAACAGATCTCACAGAGAATTCGGCCCCCAAGGAAGTATTCTCAGACAGACAGATAGAAAGTCTTCACGGTAAGTTAAAGTGGGTTCCAATTGGGTATAATCGCCTGAGAATTATTCCTGGTCCCTAATAACATGTAATTTAAGTCCTGTAAATTCATAGATTATGAACCAGCAAAATACATGCTGGATGACTACAGGAGACAGTAAACACGTTTTATCTTAGCAACTCCAAAGAAAATATCCTAATTAGTCATACCTATGAGAAGTAGGTAAGATTCACATACTGACTAAAGAAAGTCCTTTGGCTTCACAAAGATTTCCTATTTGTGAGATCCATGGGCTTTACTTGCTAGGGCAACAAAAGGTCTCAATTTTCCAGGAATGACCCCAGTTTACACCTGCTGAATTAGTGTATTAACAGTGCCTACTTTAACTTGCAAAAGAGTCCTGTTGTGAATGATCAATTAGACGGTTGCCCTGCAGCTTTCTGAATTATCTCTTATGTTGCAGTTGTTAGAGTCCATCAGGTAAAGGAAGCAGGTATCAAAGGGGTGCTCCGAGGGCATTCATGCCAGCCACCTGCACGTTCCGCGCCTGCCCACGTTTGGGGAAAGCGGCATTTTAAAAACCACCTGAAGTTCGTATTTCCCAAAATATCAGAATGCGTTAAAATGCCAGTCAGCGAAATTCTTGTAAGAATAGAGAGCAGGCTGACGGCTGTAGGCTGGGGGTGGGCTGGGCAGGTGGAGGGATTTAGCCAAAAAGAAAGTGAAAAAAGAGAAAGAACTCATTGGTGTGGCTAACACTATGGTGATGGGGGCGAGGGACTCATCGGCGTGGCTAACACTGCGGTGAAGGTGGGGGGATGGAGGCGGAAGAGACTATAGGAGAGATAAAAGGTGATGAAAAAATTAAATTTAATTTAAATTAAAAATAATAATAATAATTTTCTCTTCTTCCCCTTTCTCCCACTTCGAGTCTACACGGGAGTAAAATTCCCACCTGGATACACACACTTGGGAAAGCCCAGAACTCAACCTTGGACGGAGCCAGCGCCCTCAATCATCACGCTGTAGCAGCTTCAGTAACAGCAGAAGTACGACCCTGATGTGATCACTAACTGGACCACCCTGGCAATTGTACTAATAAGAGTAAACAGGAATAACCGCACGGGTAAGAGGAATCGCTGGCATTGCTGTCGCCACCGGCAGCGTGGACCCTGGAAGGAGCCGCACCGCCCTTCCCTCTCCCTCCCCGGTTCCCCGGGGTTGATAATATTTGCCGCCTGTGTGTGTTTAAGCCATTTGAGCCGAGCCGACAGCCAGATTCAGGTTGTGTTAGAAGGAGCTGTCAGCACACCCTCTGGCATCTTCAAGTCAGACAACTGCTAGCCACCGCGAGGGGGTCCATCTGGTGCCAAAATGGATTTTGAAAGACAGGCAAACAGGACGCGGGCTCTGCCAGAGAGAAACAGAATCAAGGGAGCCGGGACCTGCCTCCGGGATGAGCAGGGGCGCGGCGCCTGTCAGCAGCCCATCGTTAGCACAAAAGCCATGCCGGGCACACACCGGATCCCCGTTACCCTGGGCTGCCCTGTCACTCGGCGCGCTGGCAGAAGCTCGACAGAGGATCGCTTGCTGAAATTGAAGGCTTGACCATCTGTCGTGGGGGAGAGACAGCGTCAACTGGTGCCCGGGGCCTAGCGCAAGCCCTTATGTGGCAAAGACGCTCTGAAGGGCCGATTCTTCTGGGGAGAGCCAGCCCTACCCCGGGGGGAGCCTCAGAAATTCTTTCAAAGTTTTCCCCTAAGTAGATGCCAAGTGCCTGACCCTTTCGATTGCACTTCCTTAAAGGAACCGAGAGGAGTTAGAAGCAGGAGATAAAAATATCCCACATGGAGAGAGAGAGTTAGACGGGGCACCCAAGTTCGGGGGATGGTTTTTATAGGGCTGCTTTTAAGGCATTTGTAAAGCCTGGATCACGTCTGCTGGCCCGGGGGAAGGTCTCAGATTCCGAGGGGGCTTTTCACAGAGCGGAGGTTATTGTAACTGAAAACCTCACTTTTGTCTGACGAATTACCCCCGTTTGTGTGGCGGGTGTGTTTGATAAAGTGAGTCAGGAGAAAGAGTGTGGCAGCCTTACCGCAACCGTGGGAAACTGACCTGCAGCAGGACAAAGCTCCTATTGACCCTGCACAGCTCCAAAGAGTTCCATAAACTCCGGGAAATAGCCCAACCGGGACCAAACTCCAGTCTTTTGGGGGTGGGGGGCAGGGTGGTGAGAAACCTGACACTTCATCGTTAACTTTCAATATGAACACTGTCACCTTGTGTCCCTACAGTGTGCTAAAACATTCAAGGCACGTATATCCCCGGTATCTCATTGAGCCCTCATGGAAGTCCTATAAATCAGGTGTGCCAGAAATCATCAACCCATTTAAAAGGCAAGAAAACTAAGAGTCGATAAAATTAAGATACCTATCTGCAGTCAAAACTAAACTAATACTTTACATTGCTAAAAGGATTCATTATAGTATCTGTTTTCTCCATGAATTATGGGACTTAATAAGTGACCCTAACCATCACTTAGTCTGACTTCCTCATCAGGCATATGAGAAAACTGAGAGAGGTCAGGAGACAACGTGACAACAGGTACACGGTTTTATTAGTTATGAGAACTAGAACTAGCATCCGCTTGTCCTGACTTCCAGTTATATGATTTTTCCAATATAATGTTAGCTTTTCAAAAGTCAGGCCAATAAGAGCTCCATACTTAAAATATTGACTTTTTGGTCTACTACCTCAATTAGGAAAGTGATCATTATAAAACCAAGTGTGGCGTCATATTAAGAAGTTGTGTTTAGGTTCATCGGTCAGGCTAATGTAAGACATCAACCCATCACTGAACATTAACTGAACCGAACACACCCACTGGTAGAATGAAACTGTTGATTCAATGATTAACTGATATCACATTTTACCAGCCAATAGATATTCAGTATATTGAGTGGCTTCTGTGTGAGCAGCATGGTGCTGGACACCAGAGGCACCTGCAGGCTTTCCCAAAAGGAAAATTCATTGAATTAGCCACCAGGATCTGACCCATCTATGTGAGGATATAAAATAACAAAAAACCAATTCTGCATACCCAGCACATGGCACAGGACTCAGAACCCAATGGGTTTCCAGTAAATATCTGTTCAACTAAACAGAATCCAGGACCTCTACATTACAGACAGTAGCAGAGTATATTGGACAAGAGTTAGGGCTGGAGATAAGACAAATCTGGCTAAACTCTGACACTTTTCTTAACCCTCCCTCACTGGCCTCATTAAAATGTGGAAATTACAGTACCACTGTGTAGTTTTCATCATGATTCTAGCTTCACTGTTTAATCAACTGTGTGACTTTAGACAAATTATTTTACCTCTCTGTGCCTCAATTTTCTCACCTGTAAAATGAGGGGAAATAACAGAACCTACTTCAGAGGGTTCTTAAGAATTAAATGAGTATCATATGTGTAGTGCTTAGTACAGAAAAAGCAATGATTATTTTCATCATTTATTCCCGGCACCTGGTCACCAACTAGTACTCAGAGATGTTGAGATTTTCAGATACAAAAAAATATTCTTCTCTCTTGTTAAAGTTAAGCAAAGAAACAAATTCTACATGACCAATGCAAACCACGTTTCATTGAATGACCTACAAAAACAAAAAAGGAGGCAGAAACCAAGGAGAGACAATAATGACTCCAGCAGCTTGATCCAATGGCCAAGACACACAAAAAGAAGAGAGGTAGCTGCTTAAATCATGGAGGACTCCAGCTAGTCACAACTGAAGGGCACACACAGTAAAACCGTCCATTAAGCAACAGCTTGTACATCATTAATTATTATGCAAAGCATTGCAATAGATCCGGGCTGAGCAGGTTGAGTTTTTACCTCTCCCACCCAAATCCCGAAAAATCACGTTTGGATGTTTTCAGCTGCTCTCCTAATGTCCAGGCTGGAAAAGAACAGCATCGAGGCGCACCTAAACCAAGACATAAAACCTCCATTTGCAGTCTTAAGGCTCCCCGAAAGTTCCTCTGACTTATGCCTGCAGATGGTTATGTGGCAGACGATCCTCCCCAAAGATATTCAGGACACGGAGACTCACTCTGACCCAATGCAGGAAACAGCTGTGTGGAGACAACTGCAGGGTCCCTTCTGTGTGAAGCTCAAGCTGCTCCCACACAGACACTCACTGGAGGGGAGGGAGGGAAATGCCTGTGATTCAAAGGGCCTCTTTCCATGAACTGCTTTATCATCTTCACTTTGACAATGAAGCACAGATCCGTCTGCCTCCAAGACCAAATCTACTGCCCAGATATAACCAAGGAAGACTTTCCAGGAGTTCAGGAATTCTCCCAAATTGAAAATATTTAACCAGAAAGCAGCTATGTCTATCCAGACCACCCGAGCTGCCAGGGGCTACTTCAGAAATACCATCAGTGCCCCGCGGCAGCCCTCCGAGGAGAGGTAAACAAGCGTCCCGTGGTCACTGCCATGAAAAATAATAGGTCTCCCTTGAAAACAGGGGAGCTAAAACAGCTAGAAAGAAAAAACTCTATTTTCAATGTCAACACTTTTTTGGGTTCCTGGTACACAGAAGTGGTAGAGGCAGTTCATCCATGCGAAAATATGATCCACAGAAGTCTGCCCAGATCCCACAGATGCCACAAGGGCGAGCTGTGAGAGGGCAAAGGTTGTTCATCGCCAGGCTGACCTTCTCTCCTTTTCTGACATTAAAATGCACAACTGAGAGA